GGGAGGATGTGGTGCTGGAAGGTGAAGGAGCTGGGCCTCTAGGGGTAAGTCACCTGTGATGTTTGGGGGGAGGGAAAAGGGGGATTCTTGGCCTCTATGGATGTTTGGAGAAAGGCCCCCCTCCCCCCCCGCCCTTCTACCTGTGGTGACCTTTGTAGGCCCTTGTATCCTTCGCAGAGAAGAGGAGCGCGACTTTTAGCTTAACCATGCTGTGTGACTCATGCTGCCCCTACCTCAGCTGAAGTGGGAAGGCTGAGGAGTACACATGGGCTGGGGTGGGCAGGCAGGGCAGGGAGATGCTGCAGCAGTACGGGAGGTGCTGTGGCACACCCAGTTACCAATACTGTGTAAATTGGCTGGTTGCTGCTAACAAGCTGGAGGAAGGCAGAGGGGAAAAAAAGCTGGGCTGTGGTAATTAGAGAGAAGGGGTTTCCTGTGAGTTGCATAAAGCTCTGCATCTGCATTAAGTTCTTGTTTAAGTGAGGCCCAGGGGAGTGAATTATCCTGGCTCATAGGGAAGAGATGTGAGGCTTCCTGACCTCAAGTGCTCCCTTTGCAAAGGGAAGGTCGTAGGTGCTGGCTGGGGCCCAAGCTCTGGAGGATGAGGAGGGTGTTTAGCGACCATGGTTCCTTTGGCGCCATGGGGTCCTGCACACTTCACCGTGCCAGTCGTCAGCTTCCACGTTTAGTTGCTGTTGTGAAGCCCCCTTTGTAATGCCCCAAACTCTAACATAGTGTTTTAACCAAGCTGAAATTCCATGTTACAAGTGAGCCGAGCTAACGACTTTCCATCCCTGATGGGGACAGCCAGGCTTCTTTGCCCTGGCCATGGCATTTACCTGACACCTCAGGGAGCCAGTTCAGTGTGCCAAATTGGCAGAAGACTTTTTCCCAGGTTAGGCGTATTTTGTCAGTTTAGCCAGCTGGACCGGGTGGTTGAGGGGTACAGACGGGCCCCAGGAGCTGGAGCATGAGAAGCGACAGGGATGCGCGCAGTGGAGGGGGACCAAGGCGAAGCACCCCCAGGGAGCGCAGGCAACAGGCTCCTGAATGCTGTCTCGGGGAATAGAGGTTACTGGGGGTGGGGATGCGTATTAGGATTTGCGTTGCAAATGTTTAACTGCTCTTGGAGATCTGACTGGTGACTTCTGCCTTCTCTTTGAGTATTTTTATGGGGCATGTGTTACACTGAAAAGCAATTTCAAGGTGGAGAGTCAGTCTTTCCTCTCCTTGCATGTTTCAAATGTTATGCTAAGCTAAATAACAGGACGGACAGTGGTAGGGAGAGTGGGGAGCCAAATTTGATGAAAGGGGGATTTAAGGTTGCCTTTTTCTTTGCATTTCTGATATATGGCTTGAACTGGGGGAGCAAGTAAAATTCAATCCCAAATGTTTCAAGACTTTGTTTTAATACAGAGTTCAACTGTTGTAATTTTTGAATTCAGACACTTCTCGCGTTCTATATATAAACCTGGTCTCCACCCCCGTCTTTCTCTACCAGAGGCTGTCTTTTCACACTCCTGTTTTTCTGCCTAGTGTAGAAGTAATGAAAATGCATGGTACACAAAATATCTTGTATGTGCAGTTGCTACTCATTTAAAAAAATATATATTTATATGAATAAAAAAAATCATGATGTTTTGCCATGAAAACTGAGGAATGAGGGGTGAAAATATTTCACATTTCATTTTGGCAAGGCATGAGAAATAAGGTAAATCAGAAAGTTTGGGCAGTTGAGAGTAAAAATTGGTTTAATGTCTAAACAATACTTGCTGATGTGTGTGATTTTTTTTTTTGTAAATAGACTTTAAATTTAATGTTAGATTATTTTCATCACCTTGCCCTGACTGTTCTTATTCTGAGCAGATACAGTATTAAAAACGATCAAAACATGAGCATTCACAGTATTGTAACTACTAAACTTTCTGATCTGTTTGGAGGACCGGGAATTGGTTGGTGACAGGCTGCTGCCTCTGCCGCAGTAGAAGCGTAAGAGCAGATAATGTTCCTATTTCATTCTCTGGACCTTGAGACAGGAGTGTCCTGTCATTGTATTACAAGATCTTTTCTCACCTATGTCTTTTAGATAGCATGAAGTGGGGGTTTCTAGTTGTGCAGTGCAGAGAAAACAGCATCATGTTGAAATATTGTGTAAACCTTCAGCGTTATGTGAAGCTTTGTAGTGGAAGCAGTCATGTAGGCACCCATTCATAACAAGACCTGCAAGTTTCTCTTGGCCAGGACAGGTAATTGAGCTGGCTGTGCATGCTGACTCAACTTGGCGAGTTTCTCTTTCTCTCCTCCTCCTCCTCCTCCTCCTCCTCCTCTCATGACTGTCTTGTTCTGGAAACTTGAACTGTACGTGTCTGAAGAACAGCAGATTCACAAGAATTTTCTGCTTGAAATTTGCCTTAGCTTTGAGGTTGTGCTCTCTTTCAAACTAAATGCAGCTGTGGTTCTTGACTTAAGGCTTTCAGTGCTCTCACACTGAACAACTGTTATGTTGGTTAAAAATGGACCTGTTCTCCCGAGTGTGTGTGCATGTGCACACAGAGGGTGTGAATGCACCAGAATTTCCCTGGAGCAGTTGAGCAAAGGACCCGATTCTGATCTGAAACCCCTAGTGTTTCTTTGGACAGCGTTCCTGTCTGTATGGCAGATGGAGGGGCAGGAGGGCTCTGTTGGGACAGGTGAGGAGGCTCTAGAAAGTTGAAATCCAGGAGGTTCTTGCTTGTGTCTGTCCTGGAATATTAACCTCAGTGCACACAGTAAACTTGCAGAGACGTTAAAGGCTTGGAGCCTTCTGCTTGAGCCTACCTCCTCCCCTTTTCATTTAACAATGGCTAGAAGAAAAATAATCAAGTATGCTGGAAGAGAAACATTAATTAATTTTTAATTTAGATCTAACTTATGCTTCTTAGTGTACTGCATGAAAGAAGGTGAGTTTGCTGCATCTGACAGCTTATATAGAGGATGATGCATTGGAAAACAAGGAAGGGCCTCAGGTCTGGACGGGAAGATGGGGTTTTGACTTTACAGATGGGTATCATAGCTTGATTAAAAGCTGCAGATGTCTGATAAGTCACTTTTGTATCCATTTTGCATCTGAAACAAGACTTTCTCTGTAACTTGGTCTATATCTGTTTTCTCTTAAGCCAAACTTGCAAGGCGAAGTCAGGAGAGAGAGAATCTCGGCATGCTGGTCTGGTCACCTAATCAGAATCTGTCTGAAGCAAAATGTAAGTCTCTTTTTAAATTCTGTCCCATCTCCCCCTCCCCCCCCACCCCAATGTATCAGTTGAAGAATGTGAAGGTGCCGCTTTCAGCAGAGGTTACGTCTATGACCTTTTCATCGTGCTTTGGAATCAATTTGAGTTGGAAAAAAGGAAAAGCCTACAAAGCAGTCCCCCAGAATACCTTTGTTCCCAACTGGGCAACTGCTCAGAATGCCAAATCCAGGGAAACAAGGAAAGCAGAGGAGAAATGCAGTGCTTTTGCTTCCTTGGTACGGATTCTTTAAGATACTTATTATCTGCAGGCCTCCATGTTCACCTGCTGTAGAAGACTGAAGTAACTGCTGAGAGCAAAATGAAAAGTATGGGTGGTAGGGGGGAATCTGTGGCAATTTGTGGTACCTTTTTCCCCACAAAGATGCAAAGTGCACATGTGGAGCTCATGGAGATTGAAATGCTGGAACAATTGCAGTGCCATGGAATTCCACGTGAGGGCAATTACCAGCTCTGTGCATGTCTGGGAACAAGTCTCAGTGCTGTTGCCAGATGGTGAAACTAGTGTTTGAAAGGTTTGTCTTTCTACAGATCCCCTCATGAATAAGTAAGACTCCTTGATTAAAGGACTGCTGTTTGAGTGCAGCTAAACCTCAGTGCTTTTGGGGAGAGGGAGTTGAAAGGTATTTTTGACTTTGTGCTCTGATTACCCGCTTGCT